TATGTCGGGACAATGTTCCAGCTTGCTTAGGATTCTCGTTCGGATGTCAGCATCCTCAGGTGAACGCAGGCTACAGACAAATACTAGGCATTTGAACTAGTCTTCAGTTATGGAAGACAACTTAAACCTCTCACATTCTCGGTTAACAATACCAGAATGTTTCACTCAGTCATCTCCTGATTTTTTCGTTACCTTCAAGCACTGGTAACGGATATTAAATAGAGACGACTGTTCTCCAAAGATTTGAGACAGGGTTTGAATTGTTTCATCAAAACTAAAGTCTCGTTAGTTCTTCGAAAGAATGAAGTTACTATAGCGTTCATGTTCTGTTGTCCCAAGTTTCCTTAGAAGTATTCTGACTTTTGAAGCGTCATCAAGTCTGCAGAGATCAATACGGAACAAATCTTCATACTTCCTAAACCAAGAGTCAAAAGTAACAGCATCAAAATTAAATTCATGGATTGCATTAGTAACTGACTCAGTGTAGTGGATGTCGAGTCGAAGACGGACTATGATCACCACTACAATTCGTTTACGCGCCCAAAAACGACTTCGTTCCTTTGGTAGCTCGTAAATCAAAAGGCTTTATTAGTCCAGATCAATTGTATTTATTGGCGATCTCGTGGTATCGAAATAATACCGAGACGTGCCAAAGAGTACAGGCAAAATGAGCAGTGTGTGAGCAAGTTCGAACCAAACAAGGCGGAGAGCGAAAGCAGAAGTGAAACTGATACAGTTAAACAAATACAGTAAAACAATCTCTGGTACAATTGGTTACAATAATAATAATTGTTTCCGTTGTTCCAATCGTGTTCTTATCGAGACTGGCCGGTCACTACATCAGCATGAGATACTTGTAATTCAGCAGAAGCAGAGTTTTGTTGGAACATGCATAATTTCTGCATAAGGGCTTCCATGATTCTGATTTGAGACTGTTCAAACCGCTTTTCTTGATTCTCCATATAAGCTTCTAGTTGCTCCAAATAAGCACTCATTGTAGTTTTTTCGTTGCCACTGATGCGTCTTGTTGATTGAACGTTATATTCGGATCCTAAGCTAGTCTGGTAACCCCAAACTAGAACTACACAGCGACTTGAAGACGAGAGAAAAGGAACAAAATATGCGGGAAGCACTTTACTCCAAAGGTTCATTTATTTACAGAACATATAGGGTTTTTGTAGTACTTTAAAAGTCCTTGGGTTTTACTTAAAATACTACTGATAATACTTCTAAACATAGCAGCCAATCAGAACCTCTACATGTGACTTTTCATTTCCGTGATATTTCTAGCAAAACTTTTAATCAGACATTGATTGGATAAAATGCTTGTCATGTCTATTGCGAGTAATTTGCAGGATAATCCCAACAGGCCAAAATCTAAATATCCGTCAACGTGACAGACGGGACAGACTGTCTTGTAACACATAAGATCGCTTGCAGTAAGAAATTCCAACGAGCGCCCACATCAAGTGGAGGTCATATGTTACAGTACACCTACTATAGATTAACCTTTAGATGTGACAAATTCAACTATTTAAAACTCCAGAGTCTATGGTTAGTGAAATGATTTACCTCAGTTTTGCCGATAAAACTGGAGATTATGACAGCATGATAACATCTACCTAGAAGAGCCAGGATTGAGAGATTGTCAGTTAGGAATTTTTCGTTTGTAGTAGTAGTAAATCCGTCCAAGGGACATGAACTTAGCCGTTCACTAATGTTTATTTGGAAATCTGCTGCAATGATAAAATTTTCTAATGAAGTAAAATAGAATATAATGGGGACGTATGGCACCCATTTTTCAGCTTCAAAGGAACTCTGTGATTTCTACAGTGAGAAAATGATATAAATATTTTTGCTTAATGACAACATGTCACTTACGATATTCATATCTAGATTTGGAGCATTTTGGAATTTTTAAGTAAACAACGCTTTAAATTTATCACTTTCCGTATGATTATGATGTTTATTACAACGCTTTATTGTTTATCAGATCGCAAACTCTTCTAGCTACTGTTAAAGTGTGCTCCATCTCCATAATATCCTTCAACATCGTTATGAGTTTATCAATATCCCTAACAATGCCTATAATTCTAAATGACCATCTGGAGATGAATTAGTTTACTTATTTACGTCTGTTACCCCTCACTGTGGAGGAGCATAGGCCGCTCACCAGCATTCTCCATCCAACTCTGTCCTGAGCCTTCCTTTCCAGTTCTTTCCAGTTGTTACTCATCCTTTTCATATCTACTTCTATTTCACGTTGTAATGTGTTCTTTGGCCTTCCTCTCTTCTGCTTCCCTTCTGGATTCCAAGTTAAGGCATGCCTTGTGATGCAGTTTGATGATTTCCTTAATGTATGTCTTATCCACTTCCAACGACTTTTCCTAATTTCCTGTTCAGCTGGAAGTTGATTTGTCCTCTCCCATAAAGTTAGTTGAGGGTTACATTGAGTTTCATATGTTCTTCAATTGCAGAAATTCGGTCCTTGCTATGTCAATCCTCGCCTATACATCTGCATCAGATCCTTCTTCTTCATCAATGATGCTTCCCATGTACATGAACGTTTCTACATCTTCCATAGTTTCTCTATCAAGTGTGATCGGGTTGGTGTTCTCCGTGTTGTATTTGAGAATCTTGTTTTTTCCTTTGTGAATGTTGAGGCTTATTGATGCAGAGACTGCTGCTACATTTGCTGTCTTCTTCTATATTTGTTCGTGTGTATGAGATAGGAGGGCTAGATCATCTGTGAAGTCCAAATCATCTAAGTGATTCTGAGGTGTACATTGTATTCTGGGCTTCCCCTCAGACGTCGAATTCTTCATAATCCAGTCAATCACCAGAAGGAAGAGGAATGGGGAGAGTAGACAGCCTTGTCCGACTCCGGTCTTTACTGGAAATGCATCTGTCAGCTGTCCTCCATGCACCACTTTGCACTGTAGTCCATCGTATGAGTTCTGGATAATGTTAACAATCTTCTAAGGAACTCCATAATGTCAAAGAAATTTCCATGATGTTCTGCTGTCCACGCTGTCGAACGCCTTCTCATAGCGATTTCCTTAATGTATGTCCTATCCACTTCCAACGTCTATTCCTAATTTCCTGTTCAGCTGGAAGTTGATTTGTCCTTTTCCATAAAACGCTATTACTGATAGTATCCGGTCAGTGAATGTTGAGTAGTTTGCAAAGACAACTATTTATTAATGTTTGTACCTTCTTCACGATGGTTGTGGTAGTTCTTCACGTTTCTGCTCTGTACAGTAGAACTGTCTTGACTTTTGTATTGAAGATTCTCACTTTGAAATTAGTACACACATATACATATCAGTTATAAATCAAGCCTATTCCATTAAATGAAATAGAATCTAACATTTGTCTATAGAATCATATCTATGAATTTCAATGAATAGATTCAACAGTCTCGCACTGTTGAGGAGTCACACAATAGGGCAAAACGGCTTTCTAGTGCTTTCAGGTTTTCCATGGTGGTCTAGCTTCATTCGACTCATGATCTCAACTATTGAAAATCTCTCAAACGTTGGGTAACAAACCTATAGTTTTCTATATTAAACAGATGAATTATCTTTGATTTAGTGATAATAGCTTAACACTGTCTTGCTGAAAAATCATCTTCATAATGCTGAAAACAGTTAGTTAACAAACATCTGTGGGTTGGAATAAAATTTAAAGCTTCATGTTCTTATCAAATCCTAATCTCATCATAATAAGACGATTTATTATAATATTTAGTTCTAAAATATACATCATAACTCATTAGTTCTCGTTCAATTATTGATTTGTACGTTATTATTTGTTATATCCGAATGAAGGATAAATCAATAGTGACTGCTCGGAATTATGCATGGACTATTGGATAGTTACTAAGTAAACAGATTACATATATATTCGTATCCCTTTTATCATGAAAGGATTGCCTAGGACAGGGTTGGATGAAGAATGCCTAGGCTTCTCCACGAGGGGTGACAGGCATAAGTAAGTAAGTAATTCCTGTTATCATAAACTTTCATCTGACATATTAGCTTCTGTTATACAACTAACCAATCCTCACTTATTCCCAATTTATTAGTTATAGTCTTTTATAGCCACAGTCGCTTTTGGTTTGGTTCTGTATAATTACTATTTCTCATTTCATGGTGTGATGCGGTGTGGTCCACTTGTATATAAACTACGTATGCCTGAAACATATGACTTATATATTGGAGGTTAATATTTGTGTTGTGGACTAGACGGGTTGAGTTAGACGGAATGCTAATATACAGAGGAGCCATAGGAACTCAGAGCTGATTGTAGGCTGCTCGTGCTAACTATTACATCATTGGTTTAGCACAGGAACAAGATCATATGTATCAGTGTTCTAATTGGTGATTTTGCCACGTAATATTTGACAGACTACAAGTCATAACATTATCTATGTGTACAATTGTGTTTATATATACCTCATTGACTGAAATCTATTAGTTACAATGTATTACGTGGAAATGTGATTCGAGGATTTTATGTGAAGTGATTGAAATCTACTAACAGGATTTCGAAAACATCAGTTATGTAACAATTACAATATCCTTATTTCATGTTATTTCAGTAGGCATGTTTCTCAATAACATAATTCAGATGAGTTTATCGATTTACATATGATGCACACTGTTCAGACTAATAAGTCATAAAGTCGAGTATATTTTTAAACATTTTACCCTCATATTTCTTGTCTTCTAAAACAGGAAATTTACGAGGACACTCCAGAAAGGTCCACAAGCCCAGAACAAATTACTTATCAGCTGATAATCGATTTTCTCATCGAATCATTAAAGAGTGGAATTCATTACCTCAACATGTGGTTAAGGCTCCATCCATCGACTCTTTCAAAAGAAAGCAAGATCAACTGAGAGACCATCATCGCCAAGATTAACACAGGCCATCAAGCCTCCTGTTCTTTCCAAACTAAAACTGATGAAAACATGTATGTAATACAGATGGACGAGTTACAGTATAAAATACTAAGTATATTTGATCAAATTTATTGAAATAAGAATCTTTCTAATCAAGATATTAACAACTGCTAATTCTGTAGCAATAAAATAAACTTCAGTATTTGTGGAATAACAAGAATAAAACATAATTTATCAGAAGAAAATGTTTAATCAAACAGAACTAATTACATAGAATTCATCATTTGTATATTTTTATGATTAAATTTAGCTTACTTAATATTATTAAGTAGTTTATCTCTATTAGTTAAATTTATGTCAAGATTTATCGTCATTTCATTCTCCAACCCACCCCACACCCATAATCGATAAAAAAATGTCAACATCCTTTTTTACAGTAAAAATAGGTACACTGATAAAATAATTGCTTTTACATTCACAATCTAAACAAAACTAAGGGAACTTTCGATGTTTCAGTTAATAATCCTAATAACCAAATGGATACTCTATTTTCAAGGAAGGGATATTTATTTTGACAAAAGATATGTATACAAAAAAAAACAGCTATTGATTATAATTTTAAGTAAATACAAAAGAAAAAAAGAAAATATTCATTGTGTTACATGCTACTTCTTGAACATAATAATACAGGTATACAACAATTATCTACATGATCATTTAATTGATTATTAGTTGCTAGGGTATTATTGTGTAACCAATGATCAGTTGCAGATATTGAATCATTATTATTATTATTATTATCATTACTATGATTATTATTATTATATTGTTTATTAATAAATGAATTTTGTAAATGAATTGTTGGTATTTGTAATTGATTAAATTCATTAGAATTAATTAATTTGATTGAATTTATTGATTTTAATTGATTTGTAATGAATGTCGATGATTTTTTTAATGGGATCGATATTATTGATTGATTATTATTATTATATTGATTATTGATATTTAAATGTAAAATATTATTTTTATGATTATTTTCATCTTGTTCATTATTATTATTATTATTATTATTATTATTATTATTATTATTATTATTATTGTGATCATCATCATCGTCATCATCATCATCATCATCATGATCATCACTTAAACTTTCTTCATATGAACTATCATTATTTATGATTGAATAATTATGTGAATGATATGATTCTAATAGACTTTGATGATTATCATTATTTGTAGACCATACTATATTACTATGATTATTGTTAGTAGTATTAGTAGTAATAGTAGTAGTAGGAGTAATTGGATTTATAATTAAACTATTATTATACATAGAATAATTTATCCAAGGATTAATTTGTTTATTTAAATCAATCATATTTATATTATTTTCTATTGTATTCAAATTTATAACTGAAGATAATGATCTTGATGATGGTGATGATGATGTAGTTGTTGTTGTTGTTGTTGTCATCAAGTTGCCTAGATTTGAAGTATACAAAGAAGATGAAGACAATGAAGACGATGTTAAAGAAGACTGTGCTGAGCAAGATGATACTGAAGAAGAAGAAGAACCACAACAATACTTTAGATTATTAGTTAACCCTTGTGTTGTAAGATTTAAGATATTTTTTTCATAATCATTTATAATACCAGAAACATATTGATTTGTTAATTGATAATCATTTTGTTTTAAATAAGATGAATCATTGAAATTTGAATTTTGTTTATTTATATTATTTTCTTCATGTATATATGAATGATTATGATGATTTGACAACTGCTGATTATAATGATAATCATAATAATAATCATTTGATGATTGAATATTGAATGGGTATTTAGAATTTGTTTGTTTTATTATATCTAATTCATCATGAATGAATGGATTGATTCTGGAATGATTAGTGAATAATTCATTATTATGTTCATTATTTGTTATTGTAGGTAGATGAGAAGTTAATTGTGATATACATCGAGCAGGATGATGATGATGATGAGGATGAGGATGATTGTACTGATTTTGATTGTGATCATTATTAGCTATATGATATTGATTAGATAAACAATCATTTTCCGATTGTAAATCTTTTCTATTAAATGATTCTCTAAAATGTTTGATAAAAAACGATATTTAGATTTACACTACTGAAACGTCATATTAGTAGTTTAAAAAATAAACTAAAATACTTCAAATCCATGAGATTATTCATCCACTTATCATTATTATTATTATTATTATTATTATTATTATTATTATTATTGTTGCTACTAATAGTAATAATAATAATGATACAATCCATATCATGAGCTGATGTTAGTGAATAATCAATGAAGACAAGGAAACCCGAGACATTTGAATAATGTACAGAGCACAGTTTATCTTTAAATCTTTAAATTTATTTAAATTGAAGTTCTCTTTCAAAACTTTTTTCAGAGTTGCAACACGAATTTAAAAATGTTAAATAATTGAAATTTAAGTTCATCAATTCAGCAAACAATATTTTCAAGTTTCTAATGGTTGCATAAGCTAATTCAGACTATGATTTCAATAAGAAATAGAAACTAATGAATTTTTAATGAATTATATCAGAAGGGGTTTTGTGGATATTACAGTGATTTCAATAGTTGTAATCATGAGTCAATTGAAGCTAGACCATAATAAGACAGAACGACCGTCAAGTAGTGCTTCCAGGTTTTTCATGGTGATCAAGCTTCAATTGACTCATGATTTCAACTGTTGAAACTTTAATGATTACTTTACTATTTTAGCTGTATAGAATGTATTTAATTAGTTTTTTGGCTTGTTATTAGTATTAAGACAGTATAACTATCAGTTATCAAAATCCATTGTATATGCTAATAACAACAACAAGATATAAACTGTCGAAAATATTGATAACCAAATTAAACAGAATAAGATAACCAGGATCGGTTGTTTGTTTGTTTTTTAACTTAGAACTTCCTATACACAGTAACAAATGTAGGGGAAGATAAACAGTGTAGCAGCATCCTCTGCATCAGTAAGCTTCAACATACACAATGGTAAAGCAAGATTATGAAGTATAACATAGAGAAAACTAACCCAATCACTCTTGATAGTAATGCTCTAGAAGGTGTGGGAACTTTCACGCACCTCGACAGTGTCATTGATAAACAATAAGGATCTGATGCAAACGTAAAGGAGAGGATTGAAAAAGCAAAGACCGTATTCCTACACTTGAAGAACATATGAAACTCAAAACAACTGTCAACTAGAATCAAAGTGAGAATCTTCAATACGAACAAGAAAACAGTCCTACTGTACGGAACTGAAACTTCGAGAACTACTACAACCATCATCAAAGATATACAAGTGTTTATAAATAGTTTTTCACGTAAGATACTCAATATCCGTTGATCGGATACCATCAGCAACAGTCTACTTTGGGACAGAACAAACTAATTCCCATCTAAGGAGGGAATTAAGGAAAGACGTTGAAAGTGGATAAAACATGCATTGCAGAATTCACCAAACTGCATCACGAAGCAACAACTAACTTGTAAACCTGTAAGTAAAAGGAAAATAACGAAACCAAGGAACAAATCGCATCGAGAATTCGAATTAAACATGAAAAGAGTGAATAGTCATTGCAAACAACTGGAAAAGATTGATAATGAAAAAGAAATCTACTTCCTAAATCATATTATTAGCTATAGTCCAAATAAACTGAACCTTAATATATAAGATGGTATATTTAATTTGAACATATGGAACTCCATGTAACCCTCAACTAACTTCAAAGTGAAAATCTTCAATACAAAAGTCAAGACAGTTCTACTGTACGGAGCTGAAACGTGGAGAACTATTGCATCCATCATCAATAAGGTACAAATATTTATAAACAGTTGTCTTCGCAAAATCCTCAACATTCACTGACCGGATACTATCAGTAACAGCGTCTTATGGGAGAGGATAGACCAGCTTCTAGCTGAAGAGGAAATCTGGAGAAGACGTTGGAAGTGGATCGGACATACATTAAGGAAGTCACCAAACTGCATTACGAAGCAAGCCCTAACTTGGAATGGTGAAGGGAAGTGAAAAATAGGAAGACCAAAGAACACATTACAACGGGAAATAGAAGTAGATATGAAAAAGATGAATGTTAACTGGAAAGAATTAGAAAGTATTGTTTGGGACAAGGTTAAATGAAGAATGTTGGTGTGCGGTCTGTGCTCCTCCACGACGTGGGGTAACAGACGTAAGTAAGTATGTAAGTAAATTTTAAAAACTACACACAACGTTTTTCTATTTAATTATTATAACAAATCATTCAAATCATAATGACATCTCATCATTAGTTGTACATATTCATTTATGTGGGAACATTGACTGTTTACCTTGAGTAAACATCTATATAACTATCTATATAAGTAAATGAATAAATGAATCAGTAAGTGAAAATACTTTTCATTCAATAGTTCAATCATTTTCTTTATTTGTTTATATGCAAATCAACTAAATCTTGTTGAAACTAGTTTCATTTACAAATATGAAGTTTATTTACTTATTTGATCAATTATAATGTAAGTTTAATTAGTATTGAAACTTGGAATAAATTATCATAGATAGATATATAGATGGTGTGGATAGATAGGTAGATAGATAGGTAGGTAGGTAGGTAGGTACGTAGATAGATAGATAGATAGATGATGTGGATAGATAGATATTTTGATGAGGTTTTGTTCTCTGAGCCGGATGGTTTAGTCGTGGAGTTATCATCGTCCTTCTCAACGACATTATCAGGAAAAACTATGAACTATATGTGGAGAAATTTGAACATTTCACTTCTACCTGAAGTTTGTGTTGATGATATCGTTCAGAAAGACGATGAAAGGTCCACGAACAAATCATCTAGCTCAAAGAATAAAATCTCATCAAAATCATCCACTTGAGCTATAAATGTTCTTCACCATCTCAAGATAGATAGATAGATGAATAGATAGATAGATAGGTAGATAGATAGAACTTATCTTTATCTTGTAGGTGAAACTCTTCTATTAATGTCCATAGTACTGTTAAATTTGTTTCATATTCATAACTTTAACAGATTGTTCTCATTTTACTTTGAATGTCACTTTAGCCATGAGTTCATGGATTCTAGGTGATATGAAATCGTAATTGAGGACCATGATATATCAATGATTAACTAAAATGGTTGAAATGTAAAGTTTGTCAGTTAAACTTCATAACTCAGTGTCATTGTAATCACTTAGACCACTGATAGGTTTTAGGTTCGAGTCTCGCGAGGCGAGTTCGTGGATGCGCATTGCTGAGAAGTCCCACAATAGGACGAAACGACCGTCAAACAGTGCTTCCAGGTTTTCCATGGTGGTCTGTCTAGCTTCAATTGACTCACGCTTTCAACTATGAAAATACTAAATCTCCACAAAACTCCTTCTAATAAAAATGAATAAATATCAGACAATTTCAACTATCAAATACAAGTTAAGTAATAGTGCTAAGAATGGGAAGGATTTCTGTCTATTTAACGACTATATAAAAGATAAAGAATAGATGAACAAGCTATAATAATAATAAAATAAGAACAGATGCTAAGACAACGATTGAATAAATTGACGGTTATGTCTCTTCTAAAAACACAGAAATCATGTATAAATTAGTCAAACTACTGCCTAGTCTTATCCATGGGAAAATTATTTATTTGAACCCTTTTTGACATTATGATGATTTTCATAGTTGAAATCATGAAACAATTGAAGCTAGACCACCATGGAAAACCTGGAGGTACTGCTTGACGGTCGTTTCGCCCTATTATGGGACTCCTCCTTGGCAGTGCGCATCCACGACCTCGCCTCGTGAGATTCGAACCTAGGATCTACCAGTGGTCTATCGGTTAAATGCTCTGGCACAAGACTGGTAGGTTCTGGGTTGGAATCTTGCAAGGCGGGATAGTGGATGCACACTACTGAGGAGTCCCACAGTGGGACCAAACGACTGTCAAGCAGTGCTTTCAGGTTTTCCATGATGGTCTAAATTCAATTGACTCATGATTTCAACTATGAAAAAATACTGAAATCTTCACAAAATCCCCTTCTGAAAATGAAATATACACTTTAGATCCTATTGTTAATTATAATCTATCTCTTTCATCATAAACTTGTATTAAACAATACAAAAACATACTAAATAGTTACCATGGTGAAAAATAAAACAAACAAAAAAAAATCAAAAATGACCAATTTCTTCGATTTTGAATACTACCTTTATTTACTTATGTTACTATTTAGAATATTTTTAAAGGAATTATGTAATGATATATGATTATGTAATCAATTCTTAATTAAACAGTCTAATGGATTTTACTGTTTTCTTTAGTTTTTTTTTTAGTTTTTTCTGTCTTTCATGGTCACTAATTCAACATTTTCTTCTCTTTTTTTTTCTTTTTTTTTCTTTTTTTGTTTTTGTTTTGGATAATCTACTTTATGAAGATGATTTCATTAGGTTAGTTCAATCATTTCATTGAAGGAAGTATGTTGAATGATCCATTAATTCATTAGTTCGTATTGAGTGTTAATAATGACATTAGTAAATAAGTTCAAGAAGTATTGATTAGATCTATAGTTTTCCTTACCTCGCTAAACCCCCCACCACACACACCCACACACACACTTATTCTTTACACTCTCTTACATGGTTACATAATCAAACATTTAATTAGTAAACATGTGTTATGCTTAATTTGTTTGTTTCTATTTTGTTTTAATAACTTAATTAAATAAAAGTTAACATAATAGTTTATGTAAACATTATAAACAATATGCTCATTAGTGACTAGCTTCATGAAGTAATTCCTGGAGTTCTAGTGAAAAACAGTGATCAGTGGAGTTCAACCAGGTCTATTGTGAGATATCAACTCACTGAAGATATTAGTGAATAGTTGCTCAATCTCGTAGATTGGTTGAAGTTAGACATTAACACCTCAGTGCTCTAGTGGTTAAGCGCTCGCGTGAGAAACTGGTAGGTCCTGGGTTCGAATCTCACGAGTTAGGATCGTGGGTGCTCATTGCCACTGAGGAGTCCCACAATATAGCGAAACGACCGTCA